ACACACACACACACACACACACACACACACCAGTGAGAGACGAAAAGGCGTCGTTTATCCGCTGGCTGTGTCTGGCACGGCGCGAGCGCGTCTCGCGAGCCTCGTCACGTCAGCAATCTCCGAATCTCGTAAATGCATGATCGCGACATCGGCCCAAGGCGGCTAGGTGATTAACGAACGCATCGGCGAGCGTTTACCTGAGTCGCTTACCTGTGGGCGCGAGAAGGTGCGGCGCCATAATCTCATAACGACTGCACGCGGTGAATCGATCGAGGAATTAGGGGCGGAGGGAGGATGAGGAGTTTGGATGGATAGCAGGGTTTCTTCTGAGGGAAAATTAGACAAAGGAGGTAATGGCCAGTTTGGGAAAAAAACACGCATGATTCAAATACAAATACAAATCAATACATTCAAATACATTCAAATACAGGATGTATTGATATACTTATAGATATGTAGATACAGGATATACTTATCAGTAAATACAGGAACATTTTCACAACGGCGATGTTAAATTTGACAATGGCGGTGCGCCACTGTGCCTCTTATGTATAAGAAACCCTGGATATCGGGGTTCGCTGTGGAAGCCAACTACTGATCATTACGCGCAGCCCCCGCGAAACTACGCTCAGACGCTGATACGAACACTTATGGCTTTTCGCTTTCGATTGGAAACAGATGGAGGTGTGCGAGAAACGCTCTCGGTCACTGCCTTCGTTTAAAGCACCCGTTTTATTTATCGAAAATCCGCCCTGTTTTCGCGCACCAACTGGGAGGCCGGTCGATGGCAAATTGGCAGCGTTGGGCATTTTTCGAAATCGGCAAACGAAAATCGTCCCCTCCGTATGTGTGTTGTCCGGTACATTCCTGAAAGTAGTATTCACTATTGTGTATTGATTTTTGATTTGTGATTAAGTGAACTTTGGCAGAACTGTCGGTGGAGAGTGGAAGAGCGCATGTGTATGCAGGGGTAGAAATTAACTTTTGAACAAGGGAGTCCAACGACTCCCTACCCTCAAAAAAAAAGTCCAAGAGTCCACAGCAAAATGAGGGAGTCCGCAGTCTGAGGTTCAAAATTAAATATATTAACAATAACGCATGTGCTAATTTTTAAGATTCATGCAGTTGCACGTCTGCCAAATTTACTTTGGCCATTAGCTGAAAAAATACAGTAATTCCGCGAGGCCGTGCTTCGGAACAAACTATAGTTAGTATGGCAGAATTTTCAGGGAGTCACACGGACTCCTGCATATGTCAAATCAGAGAGTCCGACAGTAAATCAGGGAGTATTTGACTCCGGACTCCCGTTAATTTCGCACCCTGTGTATGCGTGTCTGATCGGAGAGTGTGAGAGCGATGCGCGAAGTATTCGATATTAAGATTCGAGGCTTAAGAGTGACGAGTGTTATACATGGCCTCATCGTGTTTCACGCCCAGCCCGCACGGCGTTAGCAGAAGTCGTATAGATACAAACTACTTTTAATCTGTAATTTTTAACTCGTTCTAACTAACTAACTAAGTTCTCTCTCCTCTCTTTAACTCGTTCTCTCTCTGCTCTCTTTTCAGTGGCGGTGTCAAGTGGACGGACCTGGACGAAAATCAAGGTAATTCCCCTCGCATTTCCCGCGCTTCCTGCGAAAGTATTCATTTACTACGCACTTCTTCGTTATCCCAAAATTTTAACGAAATCATTATGAGAATCCATACAAGCTATGCAGTCGATGTGGCGATCGTCGGTTCACGACGCAATTGTACGTGGATACGTGGCGCACCGAATTCTCCGCACAGCAGCTTCCCAATGGAATATTTACATCCCCTATATCACCCTACATGTAGTTATACCCTATTTCACAATTTACAGTATAAGGACGTAACATAGAACACATATATTTAAGCATATACGTCTATAAAACTATGCACGAACTTTGAATAGGATAAACCAATTGCTATGTTCAATGTATATAACTATTTTAGCATTATTTACCTGTGTTGGAAATGTACACCATCATATATGTAAACCATCTCATATAAGCACTAAAGCAATATGTTTGTATCATCTGTAATGTGATTACCATTACATCTGATGTTGTGTAGCATATATTCTATACATGTATGTATATGCATTTTTGGAAATAAAGTACATTATACAAAAAAAAGCTTCCAAACGGAAACCCCCCTGCTGACGCTGACTCATCCGCCGCCTCGCGTGTGTTTCAGCGATTAACTTCCAGGAGGACATCGGCCGCATGATGCTGATGGTCGAGGACTCGTACACGCGGCTCGCCGAGGGCGGCCGTCGCAACGCCATCATCATCTGCGACCGCGGCGTCATGGACGGCTCGGCGTTCCTGCGACCCGACCAGTGGCAGGCCATCATGGCGCGCAACGGCTGGAACCCCATCATGCTGCGCGACCAGCGCTACAACCAGATCATACACATGGTAGGTGAAGGTCGGGCGAAGGTCGGGGGGTCGGGTGAAGGTCGGGGGTCGGGTGAAGGTCGGCAACGGCTGGAATCCCATCATGCTGCGCGACCAGCGCTACAACCAAATCATACACATGGTAGGTGAAGGTCGGGCGAAGGTTGGGGGGGGTCGGGTGAAGGTCAACGGTAGTCGGTCTAAGGTCAGCGAGTTGCGATATTCGCACGTGCGGCTGCGGCACTGGCATTTTGCCAGCTCACGCACTCGCAAAAAGTAACGAGTTTCTATCACTATCGAAATTATGTCCTGCACTGGTGCCAAAACGTCTGGTTCCCCCGTTGCGCTGTTCCACCGATGCGTTCTCGCTATCTCCTCGCGAAACTGGCCGAAATACATCGTCCGTTAAAAAATTCGTTGGTTATTCTTCCTCCAGGTGTCAGCAGCGGAGGGCGCGGAGGAGTTCTACACGACGGACCAGCACGCGACGCGGTACGAGTCATCGGAGCAGGCGCGCGAGCTCGACAAGAGAGCAGCCCAGGCGTGGGTCGGGCATCCGTACTACGACGTCGTCGACAACTCGACCGACTTCGAGACGAAAGTGACGCGCATGATCGGGGTGGGTGTTCACCGGCGCCCTCTGTGCCAGCGGCCGCAGTGCCGCGTCGTACCGGCGCCACCTATGCCGTGTATGGCGGCTCCCTTGTACCGTGTTGTACCGGCGCTTCCTATGATGCATCCATTACATGTGAAGAAACGCATGGCGTGGGATTGATACTCACTCCCTCTATCACTCCCTCTATCACTCCCTCACTCTCTCTCTCACTCACTGACTCTCTTTCTCTCGCTACTACAGCTGGTGTGTGAGCGGATGGGCATACAAGTCGGAGACCGCCTCTCTCTCTCACTCTCTCTCTCTCTCTCTCTCTCTCCCCTCTTCCTCTCTCCCTCTCTCACTGACTCTCTCTTTCTCTCGCTACTACAGCTGGTGTGTGAGCGGATGGGCATACAAGTCGGAGACCGCCTCGCCCGCAACAGCATCAAGCGCAAGTTTCTCGTCAAGCGTCTGCCGCCCGGCATGAAGGTAGGGGGAGCCACGCGCGTGCTACGCGCACGCTCTATTGTCTCCGCGCCTTGCTCACGCGATGCAAATGTGGCGCTGCCCTGGCGTCGCGCGCGTGCGAATGCATGTCGGGCGAACTGTCGGCTGTGTGTTTGCGAATCGCAAAAGTTTTTCTTCACGTCGTTAGCGGCGATTCGACACTCCGTTCCCCGTCGCGAAACGAACCGGGCGTGTTCGTTTGCGACGGCGAACGACGGGCGACCGGTTTGCGTCTGCACAAGTAGTTTTCACGTTGATTTGTAGCCGACGTCTGTAACCGATGCATGACGTGTAAGATGGACATCTGTGTGCGTGTCTGGACGAGGATGGCCGTTGTCTTTGTTGATAACTGTGCCGTTAAGCCAAAACAAAATGTAGGTGTGGTTACGGTTTCCCGACCGACCCTATTTATTCCCAGCGACCCTAAACATTTTATTGTCAATTATCTTTAAAGTCAAAAAATAAAAATAAAATAAAAATAAAAAATATGAATTGGACAGTTCCTGCTTCAAAAGGCACAACGCACATCCTTCGGACATGGTTCGTAATTAAAATATTTCAAGAAAATAAAATGTTTTTTCTACCTACCTACCCTATTTTTTTCGGCATGTAACGGTAACCACACATATATTATGTTTTGGCCTTAGTAGAGCATGCGTGCGTGCTAGAGAGCCGTTTCCTTTTAACAACGATTAACGTCGTAGAAGTGTGCAAGTATCGTTCATCTTTAGTTTTGTATAGAGGGCACTGAAAAGGTTGCTGCGAGTCCTTGAAAAGTCGTGCATAATGGAGAGAAAAAAACCGATTCGTTGAAAGCTGTGCTGCTTGTTGTCAAGAGGTTGTTAAAGTACACAAACACCTCGAAGCGTTTTTATATAAATAGTTGAAAATATTTAAACCTTTAAGGACCTTTTTTGCAATCTTTACTGTGTACGTGTTAATCGTACAGCAAGTGCAGTATAAACAATTGTAAACCGATCTCTTTTTCGCAATTTCATATAAAAAAATCACGTCTGGAGTGGAGAGAAAAACAAGTGAGCACCCCGTCGCAGCATTGTCGTCAGCGCCCTCTACGTGTTAGTGTGATGATTTTGCCGTGTCACTATTGTTTTGCTGTGGCAGATGCGTGCGTCTGCGTGCGTGCGTGCGTGCGTGCGTGCGTCTGCGTGCGTGCGTGCGTGCGTCTGTATGTGCGTGTGTGTGTGTGTTTATTTGCATGTCGGTTGCTGTTTGTAGGACTTTAGCATGCCGAGCGGTGGCGGCAGCAGCAGTGAGAAAGCAGATGCAGAAGCAGCGGCGGGGGCCGCGTCTGACGAAGAATCTTCGTCTCAAGTATATAATGTACTCACACATTTACATTCACGCTCTCGTTGTTCGTCCATGTTCTCTCGTTGTTTGTCCCTGATCCCTCGTTCGTCCGCGTCACT